TTCTATCCCCCGTGCTCTGCTATTTCAGCATGACTTTCTCAGTGCTGCAGTTATTGGCTGACATTCTCACTGACTGGACTTTCAGTTCTCCAAGCCAGGGAGAATTCCCCCTGCCCCCACCATGTCTAAATAATACCTAAGTTTTGGACTGAACAGAAGGGAAAAAGTTGATTAGTATCAAGCTGACTTTGGATCTCTCTGAAGCCTTCTTATTAAACTTAATGGAAATGGCTAGAGTCAGAGAGAGTTATCGTTTATGGCAGTTTAGTTTCCACCGATTCTGCAGTTCCTGTTTGGCTGCATCCACAGATGTCTTCCACAGAAGAAAAGCTTGGTTCTCTCTCAGTGAGCTGATATTCCTCACTTCACTTGCATTTCTGCTCAAATGCCACCTGTCAAAGTCAAAGGACTTCCCCAGTGATCCCAACTGACAAAGACCTCTCTTATACATGACACACGCATGCACATGCACACACCACTCACTCTATGCGCCCTCCCTCTCTGGCGTTATTGCTTTTCATCGCATTTCAACACATTCATAATGTGATAGTGTATTTGTGTGTTACTTTCTCTCCCTGAAAGTGCACTCTCAGAAGTGCCAAGGTTAGACTACTTTGTTCTCTGCTGGATCCTCAGTGACTCAAACAGTGCCTGGCACACAATAAGCACTCAGTAAATATTTTACATATTGAATGGCTTATACTTTGGGACCACTTGTCAGCACTGAGAACAGGATTTTTTGTCTCTTTGTATCATATACCTTGGTGACTGGCTAACTAATATAACCAATAACTGAAATGTAAGACCTCCTGCTATGGGCCAAGAATTATTCATGTGTTAACCCACTCTTTAGTTCATGTTATAGATGATTAAAGTGGGGACCACTGAGGTTTTATAACATTCCAAAGGTTACTCAGCTGGAAACAGCTGAGTTAGGATTTTTAACTTTCAACTACTTGCTCGACCTGTATCTTCAGTCTACCAACCTTGGCCATTGTCTAGGCTGATATCCCGGTCTAACACCCATACTTATGCCTTTCCTGCTCCATCTACTCATTTAGATGAGCAGCTACCTATGTAGCTGTGTTTGAAGCACTGGCAGTAGATATCAACATATTAAAGGTCACCCCAATATCCTCCTCCAAGGCTCTTCCATATCCTACGTCTTTTACTCAATCAAGATGAGGCCATGAAAATGGTTAATACAGATGCTCCTTCACTGAATATCTGTTGATCATCTACTCTTTCAGGCACTGCAGAGGTAAGACTGGTGGCTGACACCCTGTCTTCCTTCAGAGATCTTAGCCTGTGGAGGGCACAGACATGAAGGAAGTCAGAAGACTAATTATACAGCTAACTGGTACTTGTGCAAGTGAACCCATAATTAGGCTGGCACACTTCAATGAACATTCTCTTTATTACACTCTGGAATAGGAGGCACAACTGTGGTACCCCCTTGTCTGAGCTACACACATCAAAGTGCCTGCAAATAATTCCTCCAAAGTGTTGAGGAGTCATTTAATGCACATGAGAAGAAGGATCAGCTCATTCTACACTATTTCTGAATAAAAAAGATTTTATTAAAATTATCTTTAAACATGTGTGAAACCATGACTGATATATAATTCTGCCCAAAGGTAGAAGCAAAACATCTGCACACATATGTTTAAAGTTCAAGTGAAGTGTCTTTAAAGGAACATTTAAGAAACCTCTACCTGTTTATCTGATTTCATGCCTTACTGATTACCGAAAGAGAAGTGCACAAACAAGGTTCATTTGTTTCAAACAAATAAAAAGTTTCAAACAGGGTAGATAAAAGATAAAGAATAATACTGCAGAAACAGTTCTTCCAAAGGATTACTGACACATGATAAGAATGGGACTCAAAAATCCCTCTACTCACAGAGGACATTTAAGCCATTCAGTAAAGGGCACAGAGCCAGCTGTCACTGAAGAGAACCACACTCATCCCACAGTACCCTACCATTTACTTAGAACACACAAAATCATTCACTGGAAAACACACACCCCATTTTCACCATGCAAGAGACTTTTCAACAGTCAAAGTCAGGTGAGTTTCCAGTCTCCAGAGGTTTCTCTTTATCCTTGTCTACAAATAATCTACATGGTAAATGAACAAGGATACTTTAAAAAGTCCATGGGAAAATGTAATAAAAAGATGTTTATTTGGGGGAAAATTTTTTGAAATCCATGCATATATTGAGGGCATCTCAAAAATTTCATGGGGAATCTGTTACGAAAAAATATGCATGGATTTCCAAATTTTCTTGCTCTAAAAAACTTATCATTTGATTCCATTTTCCATGACTTTTGCGTGTCCCCTTGTACACAGAAGGGCTCCTCGCCTGTGCTACAATGTCACTGGAGGCTTGCTGGAGTGGTGAGTGAGTTCCAATAGAAGCTTAAGGAATGACCAAGTCTTAGGTGGGTGAGGAAGAGAACAGAGCCTGACACAAAATCATACAGCAGGCTGTGAATCACGTGTTGAGGGAACAGTGTCCTGGGCAGAGGGGTGGGAGGAAAAGGCCGCAGCTGGTTCCATGATTTTAGTTCTCTCATCTGGATGGTGGAGCCACTGTCTGTGGCTGGACCTTGGAAGGAGTAGACTCTTCTGACCCCCTGCCCCCCACAATCCACAGCCTTGAATAAGGGACAAGACCACAGGTGAAGTGTTTAAAGTAGGTTCTCCTTCCCTGCTCTTACCTACTCTTTCTCCCACACAGCTAATTGCCAGCAGGGGCACCTGCTCCCTACTCCATCTCTTAGTTTCTCCCCCCAGGTATCTGAACAAAGCAACACTGAAAGATTGCATCAGTTGGGAGAACCTGAGCTGCTTTCAGAATTTCCGCGGACATGGTGCTATGGTAAGGCAGTCCTTTGCTGGACAGTCTGAGGGGCACAGAGCAGTCCTGAGTAGTAGGATAAATCTGTCCTCAGTGGGAGAAGCAAAGGAACCAGGCAGCATGGGAAGTAGACCAGAGACAAAGATGGCAAGAAAATGGGAGACAGTTTGACCCCCTGTTTGTTAGCACCAGTTGTAAATGTACATGTTGGGCTGCTGCATGTGAAATGCCTGTCTTACAAACAGCTTGCTTTTAGTTTGAGTAGGGTTTGGTTTTTTATACCAAATATATATTAAGGCAGGGGTGATGTTAACTCTGAACTACGTGTGTATAAAGATGGGCCAGGGGTCAAATGTCCAGGTACATGGTTTAGGGGAGAATTCATGGTTATTGATTAAAAATATGGGGAATGTCAAACCCACCTATTTATCTGCTTCTAAGCTAGTCCCATTTTCTTCTTTCCAATGCTAGGTGCTATGAGGAATGAGAGACACCATATAACCAGCCACATGGGAAAATAGGCACAATAACCCTGCCCCACCACTACTATGGCACCACCATCAAGATGGAATGTCAGCCAAGAACTTGGGAAAGAAGAGAACTGGAGGCATGGAAGGTTGCATCCTCGTCATACACTGCAAGCAAGGAAGACAGCAAAGAATTCCCAGGACAGTAGGAATACTACCTGGAGCAGGGCTGGGGAAACACTGCCCACAGAGTGCCTTCCAGGAGATTCTCCTCTGCCCAGCATCAGTAGGCATGGTCTGTTTTTAATGCTCACAGAGCACCATGAGAAAGGACTATTCTTCTTCCCTGTGTGCATATAAGGGTCTAAGATACAATGGGTACCTCTGGGACCAATCCTAGTTCTCCCTCTTTCCATTCAGTTTCAACAGGTACAGAAGGGATGGACGGGCTGTAGTGGGTAGTTTCATGTGGGAAGGGGGAGTTGAGAACCCATGGCTGATTCCACATCCCTGGTGCTGCATCAGAGGAAAGTTCTAGAAATCAACAAGCACTCCTGAGCAGAGAGGAGGGGAATGAGGCCACCATAAAAACATGTTTACATTTCCTGAAACATTCAAGCCAGGGTGACCAAGGGGACCAATTTACCTCCAAGGACATCCCCTCTCCTGTCACACTTACCTCCCAAGAAGAATCAAGGGCATGCAAGGAGATGGACCTGAGCACTGGCATGGGAGGCTGGAGGTGGTAGAGAGGGAAACAGTTCAGAGAGGACAGCCCAGAGCCAATACCCATGCAAGAGTTCATATGAGAAGAGCTGCTCTTCTCTGCACACATGGGGTTGCTGGGACCTCACAGACCTGAGTCTGAGGCTGGTGCTCTTGCCCTGATGGTTGTGGATCCTGTGCCAAGGTGACAAAGCCATTCAGGAAAACTTCTTCTCTAAAACTAAGTTTCACTCACAGAAGAGAAAATAACACCTACTCTGCAGGATTGCTGTGTGGACTAAATGAGATGGCAACATAAAGGGTTTGTGAGAACTATAAGAGGTCGCACCTTGCTTGGCTCTTACCTGTTATTCTCCCTTTGCAACAGCCCCTCTTTCAATGATTGAGGAACTTGGCCACACGTTACCTACCATCGCTCTTGAGACTGTCTGGGCTCCACATTCCTGTGTATGCTTCTCTAGGTCTATACATTCCCTTTATTCTAACGTAAGCCATATATTGAAATACTGTACCATATAAAATCCAGTGTAGAAATATAAAGGAAAAGTTTTCCAAAACTGGGTTGCTATCAAGAATAGTCAAGCTAAAGCAACAACTACAAAATTCAGAACAAAGACTCCACTAAAGGCCTATTCTACAGAACATTATTCATGAAATAAACATCATCTTTTGCAGTTTATGGCAGTTTATGGCAGAGAAATCCTCTTTTATCTTAAGTATATGTACTTGAAGGATATGTATAATTTTAGAACTTTGCTTTTCCAATGTGAAGATCATAAAATATAACCTTTATCTTTTAGCAAATATTTTCACTACTTGACAATAAAATTCCCTTCCAGGATAGCAAAACACCTAACATTAGAAATATATTTAAACACAAGAAAGCTCATTTCAAAAAGAATGTTATCATTTGGCTTCAATATATATACAGTCAGCACTTTACCTCTGTTTCAATACTCTTTGGTCGATTTGTCCATTATCTAGGTTGTCAGCTGGGTAAAACGATGGTGTCTGTTCCTCACAGCTGGCTAGACTGGAAGACTGTTCATCTCTGTAACCAAGAAAGAAGAGGTGGGTCAAGCGCTATTCAACAGGAGCTATAAGCATTGATCTGATAGCAGCTCTGAGATTAGAGGTCAAATCGCAGGTAACATGATCTCTGTCCATGTCCAAGCTCCCCACGAGCCTCATAACTAAGATACTTGGAAGAAGGACCCTCTGGAGTCATCTCACTCAGTGGTTCCTATAAGTAGGGAGGGAGAGCGATGCCAGTTCATCATACTACTTTCACCCATCTATCATATTTTTAAATGGTGTTAGGATCACATGGGAAGCGGGATACACAGTAGACTCATAGAATGGCAGATGCCCTAAATAGCACTCTGGCCTCAGAATCAGCCCTTAAGGCATTCAGATCTGGCTAAAAAGCCCATGAGAGTATTTCAGGCATGGAAAGCCAAGACAATCTAGCAAACAAACAAAAAAATGACCTAAATGAAAGATCTCTGTGAGTGAAGTCCCAGCGGAAAGAACAGGCCATCAAGGAAGGAGGTACCTTTCTCTGAAAGGAGGAGAGAACTTCCACTTTGACTATGGCCTTATCTAAATAAGATCGCAGTTGGCAAATTCAAGAGGCTTCCATAACCTTGGTAGCTCATGACAAGAGCCTCGGGTGATTACTGACGTCATACTCCCATGTAGGATCTCTGTCCTTAATGTGTTGTACTATGTGAATTAAATGGTATAACTAGTACTCACACAGTACTTTATACTTTGTATTTCTGTGTGGGTGTAAACTGTTGAAATCTTTACTTAATATATACTAAATTGATTTTCTGTATATAAAGATAATTGAAAATGAATCATGATGTGAATGGGATGGGAGAGGGAGTGGGAAATGGGATGGTTGCGGGTGGGAGGGAGGTTATGGGGGGGGAAAGCTGCTATAATCCAAAAGTTGTACTTCAGAAATTTATATTTATACAATAAAAGTTTTTTAAAAAAAGAAAGTGTTTGCAAAATAAAAAATGGTGTTAGGATCATCCTTTCCTTTCTGAAATGATAATGACAATAGAATGTATCTTTTTTAAGTTAATATTCTTACTTGGTAAAATAAAATGGTAAACTCTATGTGATCCCTTCTCTACTTGTTGTCATTTTGGAGGACATTTTATTCTTTGTGAAATCTCATAATCTTAGAACCATATTCCACTAACATCCTCATTTTCCAAGTGAAGCAACTGGAATCCAGGAGGGAGAACAGCTCACTCATGGTCACAGGCTGCACAGTAGCAGTGACAAGGTTTCAGATCAGTTTTTCCAACATCCAGTCCAGTGATTTTTCTAGCAGCTTCAACAAGAGCAACAACCAAAAATACCAGTAAATAGTCTCACCTATTGCATAGTTCAATCATTCTCTTAAGTCTAAATAGGATGCCAAATACTCTGCCCAAATATGCCCTAAGGATGCTTTTCAAAATAATGCCCTGGGCAGCATTACCCAGGAAGTGGAATGTCACTCAAGTTGAAACCCATCTGCTATCTGTAATCTAGAATGCCAACCTAAAGCATCATTTATGCTCCCCACTTGATTTTACAGTTGAAGTTGAAACTAGGAGAAGTCAAGGTGAGAGGACTATCTAACATCCTATCAGGGGTGTGAAACTGAGTGCTTTGATAGCCAGCTTTAGGATGTCTTCTTATACCACGTCTATCTTTATTAAGCACTTTCCAACAGGCATTAATTAAATGACATATATCCATGCTTCTTTCAATCATCATTCACACTTGAAGTTATAACAAAATACTTAGTAGTGAGTGAATATCAAGGGTTTTCAAAAAGTTGGTGGGAAAAGCATATTATGAAAAGTTTCCTTATGGATTTCAAAATCCTTTTGTGCAAAAATATACTTATATTTTAATTCAATTTTTCCACAATCTTTTTGAAGTACACTCATACAAACAATAAGCATTCTACTCACAGGCAATTGTGATTTCATAACACTAATTTAACCCAAATGCCAGGCAACACAATCCTTCAAGTGACTCATGCCTAGCGGATAGAGTGGAAAGCCCCTACTGGACAGCAAGTCTTGAAAGACTTGGCTACATTTGCAACCAGCTTTCTTAACCAGGTTAACAAAGCTTGATAATGAGCACAGGACTGTTTTGGCTGAGAAAGGGAGCTGATTCTCTGGAAGATTAATATACTTGTAACATCAGTGTAAATTAATAAGGACTTAGGTAGCGCATTGCTTTTCACAGACGAAGACATGGGAGTGCCAACTTTGAAAATCATCAGTCTAAGTCAGTGGTAGAACCAGGAATGAAGCCCAGATTCCCTGGCAGTGCGGTCAGTTCTCATTGACTAGACAATAGCATACACTGATCTACAGTAGACAAACTTGCCTGTTTTCTCCTAGCTGTGCCTAAGGCAATATCAAGATTCCAGTCAACTGAAAGAACTTCCACTCACAAGTCTGACCTATCCAAAAACAACCAGAAATTACTTTGAGTTCTCTTGGAAGTTCACACTTTCCATTTTCTGGAAAGGAATAAAAGTTTGCAATGGGAACGTCACCAAAACTCACAAAAGTGTGCTTTCAAGTTGACGTGCCAAAGCAATGTTTAGGCGAAATCCTTCAAGTAAATCAGTTGGTAGATTTCCAGTGGCATCACATCACTGACCTACAAGGCCACCTGTCTTTCTCTATGTCCCAACTACCCAATATTCTAAAAAAAAAAAATTACTTATGCCAGGTCTCTATAACATTGAATTGCTTATCAAAGGGTGAGAAATATATTACAGATCTAATGCCAAAAACTCAGAGTAAAAATACAGAATATATTTCATCAAACATCACAATCTTTTTTCAAGTAAATGAACAATTAGTCTACTGTAAATATTTAACCTTAAAAACCTTGTAAAAAGTCTTAGATATGAAAAAAATCCAGCTGTTAAGTAAGAAGATAGAAATTAGCCTACGAGTGTGAAAGGACTCCAGGGCAAACAAAACACCTGCAGAAAGGAATACAGCAGCCTGGAACCGGATCTTAGAAGCAGTCCAGTGTTTAAAGTCCTGCCCATACCCCCATAACTTTATAAGTGGTTTCAACCTTCCCTCCAAGGAAAGTACCCCAGGAGAATCCTCTGTGCCCTAGGGTGGTAACACTGGGTAATAAAACTTAGGGAGAAAATTCACCTATTTCACATCCAGAAAACCCTTTGTCTGTGAGAATAGTGTCTGGGGATGGAGACATGGTGGGAAGAACTGGACCCCATTCCCTTATAAAGCCCAGACTGGCTCTCAGCTATGAGTTCTTTGCTGAGACTGGCCTGTCAGGTGTTCTTTCCATTAAACTTGTAACCTTGTTTGCCTGAGTCTGAATGACTGAGCACTCTCTCTGAGAGCCTTTTGTGGGTCCGGACGCCCTGCCCCAGTAAACCTGGCTACCTTGCTTACCATTACTTTCTATGTCATGTCTGAAATTCTTTTCTTACAGGAAGATAAGGACCTCTATTCCAGTCATCTCCTATAACAAAATTGGTATGTTTGAAATGATCCTGGGACATAGGCTTTTGAAGTCTGATTTTCTGAAGTCTGATTTTTAATTTCATAAACTCTGTTATTCCTTTTCCCTTGTAGGAGTGACTGATAATCAAACATGAAACCAACCCCATGCCCCAGAGCTTTTATCTGCTAACACAAACTGTGCTACTTGATTTTTGTGAGCTGTTGTCATAGTGTTCATTACTCGAAGAGTACTCTTAAAAACTTAGAAAACTCACTGTGGTGAGTGTTTATCAAATCACATTGTGAAGGCCGCAAGACAAGGATAAATTAGCTATGATGAGGAACCCTGGGCAAATCACTATCTAAATAAAGGAGTACATTTGAGGAAAGCAAAGAGCAGCTACAGATGCCTTCCCAAGCTGGGACTGTAAAACAGCAGCAGGGGCCCTTTCTATTCGTGTTGCTCCATCCACAACATTTCATGTAGGAACTCTGCCTACAGGGCTTCTCCAGCCAATGGAGCCAGGATTTGGAGAGTGGTGGATTTAAGCATATATCTTCAGGCATGATATTTTGCAAACAGATTCCTTTACTCAAACATTACAGATACTGTGCAAGCCATCTAGTTGAAGTGGTAACTGTTTTCAAACAGCTTTACATCCGAAAGCCCCTCTTAGAGCCAGCTAGCATTGGGAAAGCCCAGAACCCAAGTAAGACCAGTCATCATACTCACTGTGGGGCTGCTTCTGTTTGTGTGACCAGGGCTCTGTCACTGCAGCTTCCAGGACCCTGCAGTCCTTGGCCCTTCTGCTTGTATTTTTTAATTAAATCCATCAGAACTGCCTGATGCCCGATTTTCTTTACCAGTTGCTGAACCATCCGATCATTAAGTGCTAGAAGGGCGGCCCCACTTACTTCTTCCTCTGAGAAAAACAACAGAAAATTGCTTTCCACATTGCTTCCTGGAAAAATACTGTACGATAGGCAAAATATTTCTTAAAATAAGAAGATCATCTCAACTTGTCCTCTGCATGTATAAAATCATCCACATTTTTGTCAAAGGTAGAACTCTGATACTGCAAAATTCCAACCTGATATCTGCTCCTAAGAAAGTACCAGAACGTGGAGAAAAAACTTTATATTTCCATATTAATGCCCTCCCTCATTCTAATTCATTATTTTATAAGGAAAAAATCTTTATTCATAGTAATTCTTCCTAGCCAATACTTGCAAATGTTTAATACTTATAAATTCAACACTGCACAACACATATACTGCATTATGTAATGATAAAGCAGCAGAAAACACATGGATCAAATGTCATTCTAAGTAACTCTTGAAACGTTGAGATTTTCTGGAAATAGTTTATTCTGCATGCTTGCAAGGCCAAATAGATATTCTTCTGCAGTCAATAAAGAAAAGTACTCAACTGCAACACCCCCACTTCATACTCAGATACACACAGAGTGGGATACAAAAGTACTTTTCAATAACAGAGGGCACTCAGGATGTCTGGGCTGCTCACGTAAAACTTTTTGAAAGCATAAACCACTCACCTTGAAACCTATGGACTAGTTCTCCTAAGTTTTTCTCCACCAACCAGCTGCAGACCTGATCCACTGACCAAGTTTCCATCGCTGGCTCCTGTAAATCCACCTGTAGAGCAAAAGATCAGAGAGGAATCTCCAGCTTTTCTTTTTCCAGACTGTGGTTCTTTAGTTTTTATTTTTTAACAATCAGCTCCTAGCCCTGCAAGACTCCTTTAGACTCTCAATACAAAGCTTTTAAAAAAGGGCAATTTTTGCAATACGCATTTAAAAGTTGCTAATACAATGCACAGTAATTTTAAAAGCAAGACTGATTTTAACCTATTGCCTAGTTTCATTTCTCAAATTCTTTCACCTTCTCCTACTTTTTTTCCACAGGCATCCCTCAGCTTTACTAACGGAGAGCCAGAGCACACAATGGTACCCAATCCCTTACCATTAACACCCAGGTTTCTTCACAAAGAAAAGAAAGGTGTGAAATCATCAGGAAGTGGTTGACATTTTCAAAAGGGGTGGGCAGGGGAGGAAGGGAGGAAGGATCTAAAAGCCTGACAGAGAGACTTACTAAACCAAAACTGGTTAACCCCTTGCAGCTCCCAGCCAAGGACAGAGAGAGCTATAACTGCTTCTCCTTGCTTTAGTTAGCAAGAAGAGGAAGTAGGAGTCATATTTCTTGGGAAAATCTAAATGTTTCTGTCTTCCAATAATACCCTGACATATTCCACTCAGTTCCTGAACTTTGTTGGATTCTATTATGATTGGTAAGATAACTAGATAGATAGCAGCATGATTGAAACTTTTTTTTTTACTTAGTAGGGTAGATGGGAAATTGCAAAATAATTAAGTATTAATAATTGTCTGTGGGAAACAACCATGAACAGAGTTTGAAAGGTACAATCTCCAACTATTCTACTAGTCTTGCATGTTACTACTCTGCAATCACCCAGAAAACTTAGAGTGTACACATGTCAATAATTTTTCCTACTTCTCTTAGGCAGCTCAATCCCTGTGTTATAACTCAATCCAAATGACTTATCGATGAACTAGGCAGAAACAAAAAGAACTTGAATCATTTTAATCTTTTAATAGTACTTTTGACTTCAACTTTTAATCTAAGTGATGTAGATTTACTGACACAGTAAAATCCTGACCATTATATAAAGACAAGAAAAAGCTACTCTCAGAGAAATGGAATCATAAAGAAACATAGAAATATTTATTAGCTTGTGTACGTAGATTTTGTTGCTAGAAGTTCTAAAACTAAATATTTTATTTTTTCATTTTTTGTGTGGTGAAGTAAGTTGCAATTACCAACATCACAGTTAGAATGGTGGGAAGGGACATGATGTTTATCTTTCATACTCAACAATCTGAACAAGTAACAGCCTTCAAAAATCATTTCCTAGAAGACAAGTATGCTTCAAAATAATAATCCACACACTCATGAGTATTCACAAGCAACCAAGTGGAAAAATTGAAGACAAGGGTTAAATATAGAAGAACGTCTTTCTGGATTACAGCAGTGGATTTAATTTGCTATGACAAACAGTAGCCACAGAACTCCTCCCCTAAGCTAAGCAGCAACAGCAGGGTGTGAAAAGTCATTATTTGCAAGACTCTGGTGTAAATTAAAAATCACACCTCTCTGTCACACTTCTGGCTTCCTTGTGAAGAGCAGGACAGAGAAAAAAACAGAAGAGGAAGAGAAAACAATTCTCCCAACTCCAAGATTAAAAAGTACTCAAAGCAGAAGAGACTGCCTTGCAGTCCTCAATGGATAAAAGGAAATTTGAAAATAAAATGAGTTATTTGGAACCCTTCACATATCTTTCATTTTACAAATTTTAATCCCAGTTCTACTTGGGAAAAGCAAAGCAATGCATCAAAATATAACCTCATAAAAACATTAAAGTAAAACAGTATCTTTTTGCCCACTTGGTTTTCTTAATATCTAATAAAATGAAATACTAACTGCTTACCAGTGATGGGGAACGTCTGGCCCATGGGCCACATAAGGTCTACAAAATCATTTGGTCTGGTCTAGCCAAGGCAACCACAGGTGGGACTAGAAATTCAGTACATCTAGAGCAGGCTAATTCTTATGTTGATAATTTTGTAAAACCCACAAATAATGTTATAAACATCCAAATGGCCCTTGGCAAAGAAAAGTTTCCCTACCTCTGATAGGCAATGTGACATCTTTAAGTAGCAGCCTACAACTTGCCATCACATAAATAGTGGTGATGACATAATCATGATGCTCTTCTGCACTAATGAACTGATAAACAATGTGACCAAAGGAAAATGATGGGTCGAGTGACTTTATTCTGTTTCACAACTACCTAGAAAGATTTCAAACCATGAAACATTATCCCTAAATGTTTTAACAAAATAATAAAGAGAAAAAAGAATTTATAATAACATTGTATGTAAAATTTCCTGTCCAAGCACTCTCATTATTCGATAAAATTATGCTTCAATACAAGAACTTTATATTAAGTAGTAAAGAGGTTCATTTAATTAAAAAAGATGTAAGATTTTGGCTAGAGCATCCAAGTTTGATTTAAAAAATTTGTGAAAACTGCAAAGGAAGACAATAGAGAAAACTTTGGGAACCTTGTACCATACAGAAAAAAACTACCACAAAGAAGCACTTTTAAACAAAATATGAGAATATCTTGTCACTTTTCTTTCTGCTCACATTTTTTTATATTTCTAAAGACCAAAAGCTGATACAACAAAAAGGTTCCTAAAAGCTTTGCTGATAGCATACATGCTCTTCTGGATCGATACCTCATCCTGCCTTGGGAAAGAGCATCTCTTCCCATGATTATACAAGAAGGGACAAGCCATTTAGCAAAAAATCAGGCCCCGTTCAGGGAAAAGAAAGAAAATCAAGGTGTTAAGACAGGGACCTGGCTACTGCATGGAGTAGGGTCTGGGAGATTCTGTTGGGTGTCAGCCTTATTGCCATGTCAGGCAGTGGCATCCAGTTAAGACCAAATCCCGGTAAGTAAAGGCACAACCCAGGCCCTCATCGGTCTCCCCTAGCCCAAGGTGTCCTTGCCTATTTACCAAAAGGGACCCAATGAATTGAGGGAGTTGCATAGCTGGCCCTACAAAGTGCTAATCACTGAACTCAAAAGTCATTTGCTTCTCCAACAGAAAAAACCTTGTTGGCCAATATAGTTCAGAGGGGTCTGTGTAGGGGAATTTCTGATCCCGACAGGAAATTCTAGGTCTGTGGCAAAAAGGTTACTACCACTTTTGTAACTCCCAAATCAACTGAAGCCTACCTGGCCATCATAAACCTTCCCTAAAGGGCACGGCATTCTTGACTAATCAAGGGAAGGTCACAAGCACCACTATCAACCAATAATTTGCACATGAGCTGGACATGAACTTCTCAGACTCAACTTCAATCTGTTAAAACCTTCACCCCTGGAGAGTCTGGGAATTAATCAATAGCTGCACGGCCTCTTATTCTGTGCTTTGCAATAAATGCCTACTCTCTTCCACCATCCTGATGCTAGCAATTGGCTTTCTTCATGTTGGGCAACCAGACCTAGGTTTGGGGTTCTATAGAAAGTTCTCCAATGAGTTTGGGGTGTCATTTGGCAAACAAGGTACTCCAATGGAGCTTGACATCTCATCCACTTGGAACTGAGGCTCATTGCATATCACCAGACCAAGTAAAATGAAAACTGGGACAGTTCTCAGATGTTTACTGCCCAGCTGTTGTTCCTGCCCAGAGCTGGGAGAATGGTGGTACACTAATGAAGTTAGAAGCCTTACCAAGGAGCTAAGACACATGAAGAAGCAGAATACAGTGGAGAACTGGTGATGCTGGTGCTTTGAGAACTCACTATGGGGCTGGATTTTCCCATGATGTCCTGCATATGAATGAATTTTGATTTGGAACCTGAATGACAGACACAGTTGAGACAGTGCAGGAGCCAGAGGAGATGGGACCCATATAACAAACTGAAGGCAAAAGGCCAGAAATAAGCAAGTTATGTTTTGGGAACCCAAAACTAAACCACACTGCCTTGAATGGTGACCACATGGGAGAGAATGAAAGGAGAGAGGGTATGAAGAGCCTGGCATATTGAGCTAAGAGGGTACAGATTATACGTGAACTTCATAGTCATTGAATAGATAATATATTCCAGCTCTGAGAAGGATTATTTAAGCAACTGAGACAAACTACAGAAAGGGATTTGTTCTTGAAGTAAATTATGTATGAGATAGAAGCATTTAACTTTCTCTAAACATCCATAGAAGCACTCATTTTCCTTCATTTTAGAAAACAGATGTTTATATTAATCTCCCAAACACTTGTAAAAATAAGACTTTTAATTTTTTTTCATACATCATGGCCAGAAAGGGACTGAGAGCTACAAAGCCAGCAGACACTCTGCAAGTGGAACGTTCGCAAAGAGGTCGTCTCAGTCCATGAAGCTGAATCATCTGCAATATTTTATATTTTGCTAGCTATTAGAAACAGAATTGCTTTATTGATTTCTTTTTCAGACAATGTGGAATTTGTGTATAACAATACTAATTCTTGTGTGTTTATTTTGTGTCCTGCAACTTTGCTGAATCTATTAGTTCTAACAGTTTTCCAGACTCTTCCTTGTATAAGATCATGTCAGCCTAAACATTGACAATTTAATTTCCTCCTTTCCAATTTGGATGACCTTGTTTCCTTCTCTTGTCTAACTGTTCTAGTTAGGACTTCCAGTACTATGTTGAATCTTGTCTTTTGACCTATCTTAAAAAGCTTTCAGATTTTCTCCATTCAGTATGATGTTAGCTGCTGGTTTTTTATATATAAACTTTATTGTGTTGAGGTATTATCTTTCTATTCTTAAATTGTTAAGAGTTTTAATCATGATAGGATGTTAGATTTTTATAAAATGCCTTTCCTGCCTCTATTGAGATGGTCTTGTGATTTTTATTCTTTATTCTGTGGATGTGGTGTGGTGTATTGCCTTTATTGATTTGCATTTGTTGAACTGTCCTTGCATTCCTGGGCTGAAATCCACTCAATCATGGTGAATCATCTTTCTAATGTGATGTTGAATTCAGTTTGCTAGCATTTTGTTGATGATTTTTACATCTATGTTCATCAGTATATCCTGTAGTTTTTTTTTGTTGTGACCTTCTCTTGGTATCAGGACAATGCCAGCCTCATGGAATAAATTTAGAAGAATTCTTTTCTCCTCTACTTTTTCAAATAATTTAAGAAATATTTTCAAATAATTTAAGAAATATTTGAGAAATAGTAATTTTTTAAAAATTGTTCTTTATTTTACTTGAAAGACACACACACACAGAGATAGAAATCTTCCATGTGTTAGTTCATTCCCCAGATGACTATAACAGCC